TCTTGCGAGCCTTAATCATATATTCATATGAAATAGTGGTCTGCTTACTAATGATATCTGAAGATTCACTTAAAACTATCCACTATTCATGTATATTTTGTTATGCTACTGTGTAGTAATCCCAAAATTCTTCTTGAATAGCTTTTTTTAATTTTCTAAATTTTTATTTTTTAATAAAAGTAGAATAGCTTATTGCCAAACGTGCAATTTGAGAAGGTTTTATTAAAGCAACACTAAAAGTCCTCTCAGAAATCACGGCTAAATAAAACATTAAAGCCTTTATTGTCATCGACAAGCCCAGGCATATTTTACTTGTATAACTGTGTCTGTGTTTATTAAATCGAGGCTTTCACTTTTTCTATTTGAACAATAACACTATGTTTTTTAATATTATAAATTGAATTTCCTTACATTCTTATAATGTTCTAAATGGGGTTTATTGGAAACTGTGTTTACATGGAGAACATTGTTCTGCATGCTAAATTGTATTATGCAATTCTTCATATGTAAGTAGAGTTTCGAGACTACCAGTATTATGTAAGCAAGAGGAAGTTGGCCATAAAAAATTCTCTTTAGATGTTTTTTAACTTTTCTAATTTTTTAACTGGCTGTTTTTCTCAATTTACATATTATTTAACAAAATTTTGCCACATTTATATTTCTCGTTATAGAGGTACTGAAGATGTAGTCTCTCCTCATGGTATTCCTCTTGATCTTCTGGACCGCGTAATGATTATTCGCACCCTACCTTATTCTTATGATGAGGTTATCCAAATTCTCCGTATTCGTGCAAAGATAGAAAGCATTCAGGCCAGTGAGGAAGGCCTAAGTCGCTTGGCCACAATTGCTACAGATAATACATTAAGGTATGCCGTTTATTTTGATAACACAATTTAATTTTGTGAATTTCTCAGGGATTTTTAATTTGAAATTTTATTCAATATGTATTTATAATATTTTCTCGTACAATCTTGTCCTCGTATTTCTCTATTCGCATTGGTGTGGACGGACTAATATTCCATAATGATATGAGTAAGTCTCAAGATGTCATTCGATTACACTTAGCATTTATATGGTTTCTACCTTGTTTAAGTATTACCAATACTCCTAACAGGAAGCAAACTCGACTATTTCAGTGTAATAGTATCCTTTTACAATTATACACTACACTACCTGGGTTTTATTTTTGCTGGGGGTGCTGTTGAAGCCCTGGCAAAGCCGAAATATTTCTTTCTTTCTGGATTAGAAACGAGATTAACTAAAAATCGAGCACAACATAAGACCTTTGTATCATTGTAGGACAATTCGATTATCACTCTTTCCTCTCATGATAATTATGATGAATACAATTATTAGTAATTTTCATATTTTTTAACTCTCCCGAGTTTTATTTTGTTAACCTTTACGAAAATCCAATTTTGTTACATACTGATTTTGGCTAATTTAGATTAGTTTTTAATATGAGTCTTCACTGTTTGTGACAGTCATAATAAGGATTTTAATTAGATACATAGTCTTATATTATTATTTGCGGAAATTTAAACTGGCGTAAAAAGTAGTGACCTTATTTTATACTACTAAAGTATCTGGACCATGCTTATTATATCTGGAGTTGTAAATTTAAAAATTATGATGGCTATGCCGCAGCATTAGTTTTGCCACCTTGCTTTTATCCACCACAAGATATCCATTATCACAATATGCCCTACGTCCATAATATTTATTTTAATTATCATGCTCGTTATTTTTTCCTACATACATCATTCGAGCCTCTGCTCCGTTATTTATTTATAATCTTGCCGTCTGTAAATATATGATTTGGATAAGATCACCCAATTTTTTTACTTGAACACCAAAGTCTTAATTCTTTCTTTGGCTATTGCGTTTGTCCCCATTTCCTTAGAAGCGGATTAATTTTTTATATAGATATATTACGAAATTAGCCCTTTATTTTCTTCCCCTTAGATATGCAGTGCAACTCATGACCCCTGCATCGCGGCTTGCTAAGCTCTCAGAGAAAGAATCCGTCGACATTGAACAGATTGATGAAGTAGCTTCTCTATTTTTAAATGCAAAACAATCGGCCAAATTATTGGCAGAACACGATTCTCAATATATGAAATGATTGGCTTTGATCTACTCTTCCCTATTACTATTTTTGCATTTGCCTTGTTTCGATTGTTCTTCCAGGTTTGAAGTGTACTCATTAATATATA